AAAAAAAAAAAAAAAAAAAAAAAGATTCACACAGGAGATCAACCACTGTGAATGCATTATTTTTTTTTCACTCAGCCTAATCCTAATTGATAAAATAGGAAATCATGATCAGAGGGAGAATCTTGTTTAGATGCATTGAATGATTGACGTAGTATGTTGAGAAATGTCACAGGTCACTTTAAGAGGGAGTCTGATTTTGTGGACAGCATGTTAGGAAGGAACAGGGAAAACCCCTCATTGACTGTGTGATGTCAGGAGGTACTGACTCATAAGAAACCAAGTGACCTGCCCGTGCCATGGCACACACATTCTCTTGATCTCAGCTAGTGTGCCCCTCTTGCAGCACTGCTTGGAGGGGACCTCTGGAAATCTGGAATCCTGGGTAGGATTATCTTAGTGTCCTGCAGGGCCACTTAAGTGTAGTGCACTTTCCATCCTCCTGGAGGGGTGCAGTGGAAAATAAAAAAATTATTTGAGATTTTCATCCTAAATTTTTATTTATTTATTTATTTCTAAATTTTTATTTTAAAAAATATGCTGTTGCCATGTGTGGTGGTACACACCTGTAATCCCATCAATCTGGAGGCTGAGGCAGGAGGATCACTGACTTTGAGGCCAACCCAGGCTACATAGAGTTCAAGACCAGCCTGAACTATATAGTGAGACTCTTTATCAATAAAAATATGCTGTTACAGGGGCAGATGGTGTAGCTCAGTGGTAGAACATGTGCTTAGCATTTGTGAGGCCCTGGGTTTAATCCTCAGCATCTAAAAACAATGAAAAATACAATTACTTGCTTTCTTGGTCCCTTTACTCTCCAACTCTTGTATCCTGTTTTCTTTTTGCATTTTTGTGAAGTACAGATCCTTCCTGATGATGGGATTACATCCTGACAAACCCAACATAGGTTGGAAATATCCTAAATTGGAAATGCATTTGATATACCTAATCTACAAGACATTCTAGCCTAGCAATACAGCGCCCCGCAGATACTGGTTATTTCCCCTGGTAACTGCTTAGCTGACTGTGAGCTGTGGCTCACAGCCACTCCCCAGCATCTTGAGAGGGTCAGACAATATATTGTTAGCTTGAGAAGAGATCTAAACTAAAAAAATTGGAAGTTTGGTTTCTTTCTTTCTTTTTTTTTTGTTTTTTGAGACAGGGTCTTACTATGTAGTTGAGACTGACCTGGAACTCTGGAACTCACTATGTAGCCTAGGCTGGTCTCAAACTCACAGTGATCCTCCTGCTTCAGCCTCTCAAGTGCTGGAATTATAGGCATACGCCACCATGCCCGGCTGGAAGTCTGGTTTCTGTTTAATGCATATCACTTACGCACAGTGGGAAAATCATGAGTTGAACCATGGTAAGTTGGGGACTGTGTGTATGTCCTTTAGAAATTCTTAGAGAGTTTGGGGATTGCTGCAGTTTGGATCTGAAATCTTTTAAAGATGCCACTGGGTGATACAATCTGTAGGAAGTGGGGCCTACTGAAAGTCAGGGCAAGGGAATGAACCCTTGAAGACACTGGAACTCTGGCTCCTCCTCTCTCACTTTGCCTGCCAGCTGCCATGAGGTGAACAGGCATTCTCTGCTACATGTTCCCACCATGATACATTGTGTATCATGTGTATCATTTATGTGCCACCCATGCCTTGGCAACAAGTCCAAGTG